TTAAGTGAATGGTTAAGACACAAATTTATATACAAGAAATTATGTATAAGCAGAAGAAAAAGCTTTTTTACTGTAAAAGTGGTCAGACACTGGACCAAGTTTCCCGGGGAGTTTGTGGAGACTCCCTCTTTGGAGATATTGATAACTCTGCATGGACACAACCCTTAGTAACCTACTGTAATTGATCCTTCTCTTAGCAAGAATACTGAACTAGAAGAATTCCAGAGGTTCCTTCTGTCCTGAACAATTCTATGATGCTGTGCTATACAATCACATTGTACTATGAGAAGGACTAATTTGCATTGATTTCAGCAGCTTATCTAGCTATGCCTTCATACATTGTTCAAACAGGTTCAGATGAGATTGACAATCTCTAGAGATTTGGCTTTTATTTCTTTGATTTTATAGTGTGCTTTTGTGTAAAAAACAGCAAAATGAAAATGTATTTTAGCTCCATTATTTAAAAAACTGAGAATATTTATACTCTTTCTTTTTTTCAAAAGGGCTCAGTACTTAATGCCAAGTCATACTGTGATTTTGTACTTAGACAAAATTCATGCTGAGCGTTCCAAGTTTGGCAAAACACTCAGGAACCTTCACAACAAATGCAATGTATGCCCTAACTAAAAGAGCTGTGACTGTATTGTCAGTTTGATAAAATAAAGATAAAAACAGTGGTAATGCCCAGTGTTTCTAACCGCCTGTTGTGTCTTTGTTGTAGAACTTCTGTACAAACTGCAGTACAGTCTTTCTCTGTCCTACACGTTAATTTAAGACTATGTGACTGCGCTGTCACAGTGACACAAATGAAATTAAATTGCTGATATGGTCTTTTTTGCCTCAACTAGACAATAAAGAAGTACATATACATATTAATCTTTCTTTTCTACTTCATGTGAAATGAAAAATAAAATTTATTTATTTATTTCACATTTTGTGGTCCGAGAAAACTGACTGCAATGCGCTGTTGGAATAGTATGACAAAACAAACCTTGAACAATTTTTTCGGGAAAAAAAACCCTAAACTTTCATGTTTACTATAGTTATAGGTTTGATAATTCTTATTTTAAAATTATTTCAGGATAAAGCTAATATTTACACTCAAAGTGAGAAACTCTGGGGACGGAATTACTGGTATTATGGGATTTGAAAAAAAATCAAGATTCTTAATGTGAAAATGCATTTAAGTTAAATTTATATCTTGTTTAAATTAAATCCAAAATGTGCTTGAATTGTCCTCTTCCTTCCCCAAAAAATATGAAAACCCAAAATAATGGAAATGTTTAAATATACAGTTGTTGATACAATTTTTCTGAAACGTCATCTATTCTGTAGATGTGCTCCAGCACAGCACTGCTGGAGATGTGTTATTCAGTTGACATTCTTACCAATTTCACTGCTACCATAAAACCAGAATGTCAACACTATCCAGCCTCAGGGGTATCAAAAGGTCTTAGATATTAGTTTGTTTATCCAAGTATCTATAATTTTAATTTTTTTATTTGAACTAACCATTCAGATTAACTTTAAGGAATTCGCACCTCTAGAAATTATTCATCTTGTGATAAAATGTACTTCTACAATTAATCATGCATTTGAGTTATGTTCCTGACTATGTGCCTCAGCTGTGAGGAGTCTAATACAACTAGTTCAAGAAGATGCCATGCTGGAGATGTTTAAAACTAAATGAGAAAAAGCCCCAAGTTTCTTGGTAGGGACTAAAAGCTCTGGAAGCACTGAATCATCAGCCATTGAGTGATCCCAAAGTATTTTTTTTTAGTGTCAATGGCAGTTTGAAATTTGTAAAAAGTAAAGACTCTTGAATCAGTACTAAAACTGAACTGCTTAGAAGAAATAGAATTTTACTCCAGAAGGTAGAAACATGGTTATACCTCACATTTTAGAAATAGTCTTTAATGTTTCCACAATTGCTACTTTATTTGAAACAGATCTGAAAATATCTGATTACACACAGACATTTTGTCATCTGTTCTTTGTATTTTTATTATTTACTTGGCAAATAATTTAAGCTACCAAACTATGCCGTGAAATATATATGGCAAATCCTAAGGTTGAAATAGTTAAAACAGAAATATAACTTATGTACATGAGCTTCAGTAAACAAAACAAGGATAAGCACACACATACACAATATATGTAAGGACTAGCCAAAAGAGATGCTATCAAAAAAAAAGAAACATAGTAAGAAGAAAGACGTACCAGAAGGTCCAGTTATGCTGCTCATGCTTGCAGAACTTGACAGAAGATGCAAATGCTACAAAACTGAAGGACATTAGCTGTGTGGCAGAACTTTAGGACATCATTCATAGTAAATAGGATGACAGAATTGAATTCTGGAGAAAAGGAAGATATGTCACTCTGCAAAAAGGTAGATCTGACTTGGGAAATGTCAGGGATTTACTGAAGTTTGTTGTCCACGAGTTGAGAAAAAACAAAGGATTTACGTGTCCTAAGTATCATGGAGTAGCAGAAACAAAAATAAAAGGTAACCATGAAGAAAGCACAGAAATATGTGCTCTACCATTTAAGATGCCAAAGAGGATCCTGGTCGTTCACTGGTTACATCAAGAGAAGAGGTATTCCATAGGTCTTGCGCCATATCCATCAGCCCTCTGATGATGTCTTTTTATCCCAAACACACGTAACACCACTGGGTGGATGGCAAAACTCTGGGCCTTCAGCTGTTTAGGTAAAATCAGCAATACCAACAGCTTACAGGCGAACTAGGCATAAAGGTATCATGTGATGTCAAAACAATATGTCAGCAGATATGCAGGCTGCTGTGCTCTTTACTAGTTTCAGTTACCAGGTTGATTTAAATTTAATTCCCTGAAGAGCTCATTACCATACTCTAGTTTGGAGTGTTTAAATTGTCATCATGTAATTGCATAATAAGGAAAACACATGTTTTATCCAATTATAGTAAATACAGGAATTTCAGAAATCCCTAAAATCTGTCTTATCAATAAGTCCATTTGAAGCATAATACAGGAAAAAACAAATAAACAAAACAACCACCCTCCCTTCAAAAACCCAAGTGACCTAGTGCATATCATGCTTAGCACTTCAAAGATAAGCTGTTCAGGTTTCTTTTTCCCCACTTCATACACCAGGCACGATGTCTCAATTTATAATAAGTTTTGTCAACTATTTAAAGTCAGCTAGGAATAATTCAAAGTGTCCTCATTAAATGTTTACCCATCATCTCTCTTAAATATGCTTCCTTTTGCCCACATTAATAGAAGTATTTGACTTCCTCTCACCATTTTGTGAAATGCAAGGCAATTTGCAATGAGAGCAAAAATACTGAAATCATGACAGGAACTCAGATAACATTAGATTTGTTTTAAAAATGCAATTAGTATTTTTCCATGATGTTGATAAGTTTTTATTAATCATAGAATCATAAAATTGTTAAGGTTGGAAAAGACACTGAAAATCATCAAGCCCAACCGTTACCCCAGCACAGCCAAATCCACCACTAAACAATGTCCCTAAGCACCACAGCTACATGTCTTTTAAACACCTGTAGGAATAGTGACTCATCCATTCCTATCTCCCTAGGAAGCCTGTTCCAATGCTTAGCAACCCTTTTGGGGAACTGATTTTTCCTAATATCTCGTGTAAATCTGCCCTGACACAACTTAAGGCCTCTTATTTCCTCTCATCATGCAACTTCTTACCTGGAAGAAGAGACCTACACCCATCTCACCATAACCTTCTTGCAAGTAGTTGTAGAGAGCCATAAGGTCTCCCTGGGAAGCCTCCTATTCTCCAGGCTAAACAGCCCAGCTTCCTCAGCCACTCCTCATAAGACTTGTGCTCCAGACCCTTCACCAGCTCCACTGCCCTTCTTTAGGCATACTACAGGAGCTCAATGTCTTGCCTGTGGTGAGGCACCCAAAACTGATCACAGTTCCTTACTTCCCCAAGATTAGAAAACTCTGTATTTTCATGATTGGTACACCCAAGACAGCCTTCAGCCATCACATCACCCACCAGTTCTTCTCTGTTCATAAGCAACAGGTCCAATGGGGCACCTCCTCTGGTTGACTTATTCACCAGTTGTATCTGGAAGCTACCTTCTTTATGGAAGCAATTTTGATGCAGGGTGTAGGACCCTGAGATTAGCTCAGCTGGTTAGAGCATAGTGTTAATAACACCAAGATTGTGCACTTGATCCCCATAGGGGCCATTCACTTAAGATTTAGACTCAAGGATCCTTGTGGGTTCCTTCCAGGTCAGAATATTCCGTGATTCTGTGAACTTAACCTCAGCAAAACTACCTAACTAGATCAATTTTCATCCTTGTTGTTGTTCAGTCACACTTGCAAAACCTTGCACCTGTTATGTCATGGCACCTGGGAAGATGAGGCAGCCATAGGGGTGACGTATCTGCTGTGCCAGGCAGGAATTTATCACCATTACCCTCTATCACTTAAGTCAACACATTCAGCCAGGCGGAGAGAAGATAGGGAATCTTCCATATCTTGCATCCTGTCTGCCTGTCTGGCCTGTCCCAGGGAAGGTACAGTGTGATTCCAGTAGTTCTACCTTTCAGACCCCCTGATGCTCCTCAACTTACGTCCTCTTAGAGCTCTGTCACTAAGCAGAGGAGTTCCTCTACCTGGGCACACCTTCCACAGGTGTACTCACTGCTCCCATCCGGTACTGCTGAACAGCAGGGCACAGCCTGCAGCTGATACCTGGGTGCAGTGTGTTCCCACCAGAGCTCTGTCTGGGCAGCTGCATAAGTCATGGTGGGTACAGAGCTTAGGGAGGCCATGGCTTTCTTCTGGGTGGATGCCGTTGCTCCATGGTTGAGCTGGCAGGGCTTCAGCACCTTTTCTGCATGCCCTTCTGCACAAATTGCCATACCATGCCCTGGTTGATGTACCGTGCCTGTTTGCCTATTCTGTTGGTGGCAATCCTGGTCACTGGTGCTCCTTAAGTGCTTCTTTTATAAATGAGGGGGCTTGGCACCTATTGCTGCTGGCCCTGCCCAGATCCTGTCAGCTGCTGTTGCACGAGCTGGGGGCTACCAGTGACTCTCTTCTCACCCTTAGGTTCCTCTAGTTCAGGGACCCCCTATCCACCACTCCAGAGTGTTCCTCTGCAGATTGTGCTGGAACTGGAGCTGTTTGCCTTGGCGACTGAGTAACTAATGTTACAGAGGAAGATTAATTGTGCTTTTATATTTAGGGTGGCAGATGGTACTTAATGTAGGAAATCTGGCAGGTATGTGAAGTAACATTTAGACATTCTTCAGGGTTTTGTTTGTTTGTTTTTCATCAAACAGAAATCTTCTAATATGGAGTCCAGTAGTTTGATTTTTAGGCCTTCCTTGGTAACCGAGGTCAAAACCAAGGAAGTATTCCCTTCTATCCCTTTATGTAAACAGAGGTATAAATAAGATGGAGAGAGAGATCTCTTCCCCTCTTCTCTCCGGTGAACTTGGGAGATGGCAGGTCTCTGCAACTGGTCTCACTTATCTGGGAGTTGAGGCCTTCTCAGGTTTGTTGCTTGCCACATGGGAGGTGGAGGGTGCTGGCCATGTCTGGCGATCCTGCTTTTCTTAAGGGAAGTGGTGAGATTTCATTTTGCTACTTCCTTATTTTGCTAGTTCCCAGGTTTTGATTGTGCATATCTGTTTTGATTTTGTTCCTTTTTGTCCCTTTTTCCTTTTCCCTTCCCCTTCCTCTTTTTTTGGGGAGCTGTTTGTAGCAATGGATTTATGGAAAAAGTCCTGCCAAAGATGGATTGGTGAATCAGGAGTTTTTAACGTTGTTTAAACATGTATTAAGATGGCTTTTTGCAAAGTCACTGCTCCTCCTTCCCGACACCCTCTGTAAAGACCCCTTATCTCCCAGGCAGGAGTGTCCTGGGAAGATGTCCTAAGGTGTTCTCATTGGCCTTTTGTTAACCCTTTTCTATTGGTTGTTAACTCCCTACCTGATTGGTTTTTTGTAAGACCCTTCATCTGTAATTGGTCCCCTTTGACCCTCCCAAGAACTTTATAAACCCCTACCCCACATTAAACTTCCTCTTTCATCCGTCCCTCCTTGGTGGTCTCTGTGTGTGCTCCTTGCGGGGTCACATGCCAACGTGGCGGGGGGGCAGGGTGGAAGGGCATGCACCTTCCAGGTAATGGACTGAATCCCAGGGCCTGAAGGTTCCCCCCTCCAACTCATCCACCGTAGCTGTTTGGGGTTCTCGTGTTAATATGTACATGGTATTTTAACTGTATATAACTGTGATATACATGAAAATATATATATATATAGACATAATTCCATTGGTTTCAGTTTCTCTCAGTTTCTATAGTTTTTTTCCTTTGTCTAAAGAGGGAGGGGGGAAAAGGCTTTCACTGGGTCTTGGAGACTTGGCGGGAAGCCAGCTCCAAACTTGGTCATGGAGCTAGACCACACCTGGCAGAGAAATTCTACCAAAAAAAATCAGCAACTGAACAAGTGTATATGTAGTAGGAGTAAAATATCCCTTCCTTTCAGTAGATTTCTGTAACATTTTTCCTTTCACATATTGTGATGTCTTAAGCCCATAATGATTTTTTTATTTTTATACCTTATAAGTTTTATAGGTAATAGAAGTAGATTTTAGAAACAAACCCCTTTCTCCCTCTTCCCTGTAACACCCCTTAGTTTATACATTCCTTAATCCTCTCACCCCATTCCATACTCCCCATATCAACCCTACCCCGTAGGGTATCCAGTAGAAGATGTTTAGTCTCTTAGTCAAGGTAAGCCTGTCTTGTTTGGAGAACGCTTATATCTGGGCCTAAACCGCAGGACAGAGTCAAAGAACTAGGTGACACTGCTCTCTGTACCCCGAAGATGATGAAGAATGATGAAGAGGGGGTCCCGAAAAGCTCCCCAACCCAATTCCAGAAGGCGGGCCAGGGGGTGGACCAGGTCAAAAGTTATAGGGTAGACACACTTGGGATTGGCCAGATATTGTTATAAATGTAACATCCCGGGCACAGCCCAGCACGCGCGTCGTGTAACATCTATTTGCCTTGGCATAATTAAACCCTTTCTTATCTCACCCCAGCTAAACGGCTCCTAGATTTTTTTCGTAGCACCAGCTGAACAGGCATCATTGTCATCCTTAAAAACCCTACCTGGATGTATTAGAAAACATGTTGAGATTAAGCATCATTTGAAACAGAATAGAAGAAATAGAATTGCATTTATGGAAAAGCCTGAAATAAAATCTGCCATTTTTCTTTCTTTGTTCTTCCCAGATAAGGCTCTGCTTTTTGCTGAGATCTGAGTACATAGACTCTCAGGGTCTTACTGTACTGCAACAAAGTCCCTCTCCAGGAAGATTTCTTTTTTTTTTCCTTCTTGGCTCTTTTTCTATCTGTCTTTATTTGTGTGATACCACATTACCTTTTAATCATTTGGCTACAGAAAAATGGCAATTCCTTTTTCCTGCTATGCAATTTCATTTAATTCAGAAAGTACTATCCAAGAATAAGGTAAACAGGTGGTTGCCATTTTTGCTGCTTTGCCATATGCTTTGAACAGAACACAACATAAAAAGGGCACACAGTAAACAACTAAGAAATTAAACAGTTACATCACCCACCTCAGTTAGGAAATTTTTATCAGACTATGTGTAGGAATATGAGTTAAATCTTTCATTAAAATAGCTGCAGCTACATCCTCCCATCAAAGCCTTTAACAACCTTCCTAGTAGAATCTATGATAAAACCAAAACTATTAAAAAAAACAAAACACAGAACCCCCCCAAACCAAAAGTAATAGAAATAAGAGAAGTGTGACTGATGAATGCAGATATTTAAACTACTTAAATATTTATACTTTCTTTTGAGAATTTTAACTTATGTGAAACCTGATCATGCCATTAATTAGTTTATTGTGGTGTAAACCCCGTCCACCATTCCCACAAAAAAAAGCTTTAAGGCTAAAAAATGGACAGATGGTAAGGTGAATTCTGTCTGTCTGTAGACAGAATATTAAACACTCTAATTCTATTTTTCCTGCTATTTTTAAGATATTTGATGCATTTTTACTCTATGTGGAACTAGGTACAAGATGCAATGTATTGTAGTTTCTTGCTTTAGAATATTGTATTCTTTTTAACAGTCATAGAACTGTTTGAAATGTTTCCTGCCATTCAATTAGTACAGCTGCAAAGAAAGATATTCCATGAGAATTTTTGCTGGATCTCCCAGCTGATGAAGTTGGTGAATCAATTCAGAAGTTAAACAATTTACAAAAATGAAGTAGGAAGAGGGATGATTTTTTTTTGTCTCTTCAGATTAAAGCCTGGGCATGTGTATGAATTTAGGCACCTTGATAAAATATGTACATAGTGATGAACTTTCCAAAAACTTGCTCAGCTCTTTCTAAACCTGAAAGACTCCAAACAATACATAGTTTCAGTCTGTTCAGGAAAAAATTTCGGATTACCTCTTGTGGACTTCAGGAAGGACCCAGATAAAAAATCCATGTTTCCTCATGTAAAGAATTAATCAGTAGCTCAATATGTGTTACAGATGAGGATGAAATTCTGGTCAAATTCCCCACTCCATCTGGTTTAGCAGAAACTTGTGTCTTGAGCTAGCAGACTTTGCCAGAAAACAAAATTATCAAAACATCAGCTTGACATTGTGTGGACCAACACTTCATAACTAAGATGTAAATGGAAAAGACTTCTCCCTTCTCTCAAGAATTCTATTTATTAAGAGGTAAGCTCGGAAAAGACTCTCTCCCATGTGTTGAATCTGAAAAAAAAAAAAAGAAAAAAAAGGAAATCTTTAATTTTGAATGTAAACTCATGGAATTTACCTGGATGTTTTTGTGTTTGTGAGTAAATATGCTAAACTGAATTATTGAATTTTCAAGGGGAAGCTGGATAATTCATAACTGTCCCTGGCATGGGCTGTTGTGAATTTTGAAAACACTTAGATTAAACAGAAAAGAATCCTTCATTTAAAAGAGAGAGGAGACAAAACCCCCAGAAATTACAAAACTAAGAACATTTGTTTGTGCACACGGTCCATTTTTGACTATGTAAACCAGAGACTTAATGTTCCAGAAAGAAAGTGTTACAAAAAATAAAGAATTCTGAAGCAAAGAAGTGGCTGTGGAAAGAAGAAAGGGGTCCAGAAAGAATAAGGGGAAGATTCTAGCTGGAGGAAAGTTCTTTAAACTCAGAGAAGATCCTGGAGATGGGAGAGGAGCATGAAGATAAATGCCTGACCTTGGCTGGTGATGCCCCAAACTGGTAACTACCAGGAGCTGCATAGCAGGAAGCAACACAACTTTATGCCTGATCCTCCCAGAGCAGCAAAGATGTTCCTGCAGGGAAGGGAAGTCAGCATCTAGTGAACTACTGTATTATCTCTACATTTTTTTTCAACCTAAATGATTCTATGAACTTAATGTTGTGGGAAGGAGAGGGAGATAACCAAGCAGAAAAAAAGCTCTAACCTCTTTTGTTTGTTTTCTATAATGAATTTGCTTGACTGAATAAAGATTTGTTAGCTCAGGGACTCATCTCATCCCTTCTGCTATCCATATTGGTCTCCAAATCATAATCTTTTTACTTTATGTTCTCTCTGTTCTCATGAATACTTTTGCAAATACACACAAGTATACAACATTAAACCAAAAGGGTCTAAGACCTGTATTGGTGTACCCACAATCTTCATAATGCTGTCTCTGAATGTGTTAGAAGAATTTTGTCCATCCTCTTCAAATCAGACTGGCAACAGTTGTTGGTTTTGAGAAGGATTGGTAAAAGACTAAATATTTGTTCTTTTTCTGACTCCATAACAAGTTATTCATTTCTCATTGCTGTTTAAGGAGAAGACTGAAATTCCTGAGCAGGAACAGGTTGCCACTCCTGACTTTAAATTACCCATTCCCATCCCTTTCCCAGAATACCACAACTGAGATGACAGTAACTCACATGTACTAAATACACAAGTAATCTCAAAACTGGCTAACCTACTGTGATTTTGAACTGAACAATTGAAATGCCTCATGTCTGACTTGCTGCTTGCCATTTAGGGACTAGAAATTATTTTTGTTCCTTTCACCACAGTGGGTGATAATAGGAAAGTTACTTGCCTCAAGAGAAATTATTACCCTAATTGTAGCAATCTAGTTAAATAAATACTATCAGGAACTTTCTCCCTTATCCACCAACACTTGTCTTCATAGAAAAATCCATGAAGCATAATCTGAGCATAAAGTGTCTGGAGAATTTCTTTTATATTATTTCTTTACTATTGCTGAGGTTTGTCTTGCAATCAGTCAAATGTTTATATGAGGATAGAACAAGTAATATGCACACCAAACACAGAACTTCACTGCACATCTGACATAATAACAGGGTAGAAGCAGAATTAATCTCCTCGTCTTAATTGTAATGGTGATTAAAATTACACAAAATATTCCTCACCTGTACCCTCCCTCCCCCCCTCCACTCTCCAAATATTTTCTAGGGTTAAAACAAGTTGCTGCTATCACTATTATTATTATTATTAAGGCTGTATTATGACCCATAGTCAAAAGACAGTAGTAGTAGTAATCCAGCTATCTCACAACTCCAGCAATGTAATTCCAGAATGTTCTGAAAGTGTTTTCCTGACACTTCTCAGAAAATTGCTGAGGAGAAAAGCTCATTTACTAATGTGACTGAAAAGCACTGTCACCCCAAATCACCACAGCCATTTAATGAAAAGGGGCTTTTCAGTAATATAATAGATGCTGCCAAAGCAGTGATCAGAAACTGAAGAAAGGGAATGAACTAAGTAACACGAGCTGTTAAAAACTTCAGCTGTGTTTTGCTAAGATGTCTGACACAAGATGGTATCTGCCCTGCTGAATAATTTGCTTCACCAGCTTCAGCTACCTGAAAATGTCTTCACTTTTTTTCAAAGGCCACACACTGGCTAATAAGGTGAAAGGTTTCATCCCTGTCGTGTTAAAATGGGTCATTTATACAGAAGCATTTTTAAAGGTGCTGCTACTGCAATCATTGTTCGGATGACGCCCAAGGAACAGTATTTACCTTTTTTTATACTTTTTGCTGTTGAAACTAGTGCTCAGTCTTCCAAGTTCACTAATTACTATGATGTTTACCTTTACATTTATATAATAAATAACTGGCTCCAATTCTAAGCTTCTTTTGTTCTATAGTCTTTTACTTTAAGGTCCAATATTTCAAGTTGGTTTTCATCTTGATTGAGAATGAAAATCTGAAATATACTTTTATTTGATGATGCAGAAGATAACAAAAACAAACCAAACCTTACAGATTTATCGGGTGGTACTGTTAATATTCTTTTCATTTTTGAGGCAACACTCAATTGTCCCCTTATAGATATCAAATACTAAATAAGTGGTACCTTGCATGTCTCCAGGTACTGACAGAGGATATAGGTTCCCCACAGATCCTAATTTGTAACTGCCAACCCGCATTTTGCTTATCCTAGGGTATTGTAGATGGCCTTGGGTGCTTGTGAGAATAAAATAGATCAAGTTGCTATATGTAGATGAATTAAATGCCCATGTGAAGGATAGGCATGTTTTGGCATGCATTCTGTTCAGCTGCATGCTAATTTCATGTCCTACCATAGAATTGATTTGAGACAGACCACCGTCAACTCTTGAGATAAAACCAGGATGTTATGATTCAGGTACTACTGAAAACATACTGAAAGAAAAAAAATGTCTTTGAAAGTTTGAATATACTATATATTGAAATACAATACACCAGAAGTTTTAGCCTTCATGTGAAATTTTACAGAAGCAATCCCATTTCATAGTCTCTTTACATAGTAGCTGTTGGATAGCTTTATACAATATTGTCTTTATTCAAGCAAATCAGAATTGTGAAAAAATACATTTGTTTTAGGGAGATAATTTTGTCTCACAGCATACTATAAATTTTGCTCTTGGATTTCATTCCCTGAAGATGTAGACCATTATTCTGAAAATACTTTATTAACTTATGTTTTACCTTTCAGTGTATGTCTTCACTGTCTAAGCAGAAACATGTCCTCAAAATTCTACAGACAATTATGTATGCAACTACTGTATATTCAATGCTGCATACAAAGTCTACACATCAGAAATTTTAAAATGTAGGAATGTTTCTTGTTTTACAAAAGAAAACTCTAGAGATAGCCTTGAACAATATGAAATCTGACACTGTATAAACATCCCTTTATTTTTCAAGAAGCATTTGGACAATTCATTCAGGCATATGATTTGATTCTTTGGGTGTCCTGTGTAGGACCAGGAGATGGACTCGATGATCCTTGTGGGTTCCTTCCAACTCAGTATATTCTATGATTCTACGATTTAGCCCTTAATAACTTATTATTTTAAACATAGACCATGAAATTACAATTGCTATTTTACATCATCACTATAGAAGAAAAAAATAGCTTTGCCTTATAAAACCGGGGGGGTTGTTTGTTTGTCTACTTTCTGTTTTTAATACTGGTACTTGTTATTTGTTGAATTCAAGAATAAATTAAAACAGCTTCAGATGTCCCTCTCTGAATTTTTTTTAGTAATATTTTCTCCCAGACAAAAGTATATTATATAACGTATTATATAAATTCTATTTTTCTGTTTCCTTTTACTATCCTATGATAGAGTGATAGAGCAGCTTTCTTTAACTTAGAAGTAAAAAGGTGATTGAGTAAAATAAAAATACTAAAGGAAAAACATTTCCAGAAAATGAGTAATTTTACATGATGTCCTATATCATGATTTGAAAAAACTATCCCCTCAGAGGTGGAAGATGGCTAGTTCCAGGAGTGGTGTTTTTGGTGCTGAGCCAATCAGAGCTTGGTGCACCCCTGTGGAAATGACATATTCACAAAACTGGAAAAGAAGGCTTGTTGGCGTAGCTGCAGTTAGAGGGAAGCCATGAGGTAGAGAGAGGGGCCAGGGGCTTTTCCCCTGGTCCTGTCCTGTCCGGTGGACTAAACTCGGCACAGCAGCCGAGTTGAGCCCCCCACTGAGACTGATGGTGGAGGGGAAACCCCAAAATTTGGGTAGGACCTTGGACTGCGGCGTTTGTTCCCCCCCCCACCCCCTGCTAGTGAGAGGCGGCAGAGTGGGGCTTGAGTGGCCACCAGGGGCTGGAGCCGAGCCAGTGCGGGCCAAGGGGTGGCTCGGAGTGAGTCGGGCCAATAACCATGACCCTGGAGAGGCGGCAGCAACTGCAGCCACGGAGTAGTCCAAGACGGGTTAGGGCACACAGCCATGACAACGAAGTAGCGGCAGCATACAAAATGCGGAGCGGAGGGGACCTGGAATGGCCCAGGCAGTACCAGCGTCCAGCCGAGACAGAGCAGACAGAGAGAGGTCTGTTGGAGTGTTCTTGGGGTAGGGACTTAAGCCAAAAATCTCTAGAACACTTTTGACACAGGCAGGGGTGAAATCTTGCCTAGGGGACCCCCAAAATTCCTCATGGAAGGAACCTCCATGAAACAGGGGACGAAGACTTTAAGCTTTAATCCCTTATACTTTGTGGTGCAGACATGGTGAGATGGGTGTTCCCCTGAAGTCCATGGTAAGACCCTCGGTAATCGTGGCCGAGGGGTGAGAAGTGGGGGTAGACCCCCCTGCATTCTGAAGAAGAGAGAAAGAAGAGAAGACTTTTCCAACTACTACGAATTATAGCTGTGGTCCTGAGAGTAAAGGACTTCTTCTTCTCCTCCTGGACTTTATGGGGAGAGGGAGGGGTGGTCTGTGTAAATACGTTGTTTTATCATAGGAAAATTAATTAGGATTGTTGTATATATATTACTTTACAGTTTTTTATTCTGTTAGCAATAAATTTTGATATAATTCTTCCATGCTTTGTTATGCCTGTGTGAAACTTCTCTCACATTTGGATGAATTTGCGGGGGGTTTGAAATTGGCTTTTGGGGCTCAAACCACCTCACCTAGCTCAGACTACTACTGAAACTAGATCATGGGGAAACAATTAAAGCAATAACATAGCTACCCAGAATTCAAACTATGGTAACAATTGGAATCTGGTAATTGAAAAAAAAAAATAAACCTCTTTTGGAGTTAATCCAAGTGTTTTTCTCAGTTTGAAATAAAATGTTTTATTAATTTACCTAATTTTCTAATGAAAATTTTTTACATGAAAATTAAAATGTTACTTTTTTTTCTTTTAGTCTTTAATTTCTGCCAGCTGCAGTTTTCTTTTCTTTCACTTGAGTACAAATTCAAGAACACTTCTGGCTGACCAATGCTGCAAGTTTCAAAGAATAGTTCACCCACTAAGTCTTCACTGGTATTAAATATGTAATGCTAGTACTCTTCTAAAGGAAGTCTTGTATTCTAGGGCTGACAAAATTTCTCTTAAAAACAATGAAGCCTAACATAGAAACAAAGTACTCCAATCTGTTATCTAAAACCTTATTTCATCTTGCTTTTGAAAAATCTAATTCAAACTGCTGGGCATTTAGGTACTATCAGCAAACTCTTTCCCCCCAAATTGCTATAATTAATTTTGTGACTTAAATTTGATCACATTAGTCAAGTGAGATGATTTTCCTTTTTACAAATAGCAACTCTCAGAGGGGAAAAAGGCTTCAAAAAAGGACCTGTTTTTCTTCGCACTGTTATGCACAACCAATTTCATTAACT